GCTTCCTCCTGCATGCCTCACACTTGGGATCGATTCTGCAACCTGAGCATGTGCCCAGAGTGGGAATGAAACCATGAATTCCTGGTTCATAGGTGGACACTCATCCACTGAGCCACACCGGCCAGGCTCAAAAAATTTTTTTCAAGCCCGGGGTCTCTGCTAGGGACGTAAGAAGTAAAGTGAGTGTCATTAAGAATTTCAACAATGGTGGGTAAGGACACATATGTAATACCTTAATCAATAAAGAAAAAAAGAGATTTTCAAAATGGCAAAAGCAAAGTATTAAACTTACTGCAGGCCCTTCTAAGTGACTTCACCGCTTCCTGGACCTGTAGGTCTATTTCTTTCACCAGGTGGGGGAAGTTTTCTGTCATTATTTCTTTAAATAGGTTTTCAATATCTTGCTCTCTCTCATCCTCTGGCACCCCTATAATTCTGATGTTGGTGCGCTTGAAGCTGTCCCAGAGGCTCCTTACACTATCTTCATATTTTCGGATTCTTTTTTCATTTTGCTTTTCCAGTTGGGTGTTTTTTGTTTCTTCGCATTTCGAATCTTTGACTTGATTCTTGCGCTCCTCTGGTCTGCTGTTGGGTATCTGTATAATATTCTTTATTTCAGTCAGTGTATGCTTAATTTCTAGTTGGTTCTTTATCACAACATCGAGGGTCTCATTAGATTTCTTGAGGATCTCACTACATTTATCGGCGGTCTCACCAGTCTTTTCGAGGGCCTTACTAAGTTTATCGGCAGCTTCTAGACAGTTCTTAAGAGACCTTAAAAGTGTGGTTCTGAACTCAATATCCTCCATTGACAGTTCTAAGTGACTTCACAGATTTTGATCCAATGAAGTTGGCCCTCCCCAGCAAGGGAAATGGATGTATTCATCCTCTAAGTTAATTTCATCCCAAATTTAAGTCATAAAATACCTAGAGACCTACAGTCATCCTCAATGTGAGAACTAGAGACTCTCTCTCTAAAGATGAACGAAATGATAAGATTTCTAAGTGCCCTAGTAACACATGTGTGCTCTGAAGGGTGGAAGTGGATGCCTGCTGCTGTTGATGCTCTATGACAACGACATCAGTGATGACAGTGACAACAGTGTCAGGGTCAGTTCTAATGATCAGCCGTTTAAGCAAAGTATGAACTGTAAGGACATTCAGGACTTTGACCATTTATGGGTCTGACATATCTATGAGGCCTACATGGCTCTAATAGTCTGGGCCATGCTGAATGGTAGACTCCAGAGTAAAGGAGCAATTTCTGTGCTTGTACCTTCATCTAATTGATGTTAGGAGAATGAAAGGTGCTTTTTTAGGTCTCTTGTAATACCTCACAGTGAATGACATGCACATTCCTATGGTTTGGATCTATTCTAAGGCAATAGAACAAGAGCCATTAACCAGCTTCTAGGCCTCAGGCGAGACAGAGAGTCTGAACATGGGCTGTAAGGTGACCCAATAGCCATAACTGCTCATCATGATCTGGGTTCTATCACACCCACCCACAGAAGGTCAGGTGGGGAGAGAAGCATCCATTACATGTGGAAGTGACAAAACCAGGATTAGATGAGAACAGGTGGCCAAGACCATGGGCAACTACCACTCCAGCCCTGTGACCTGTCAAAGAGCTCTCAACTGTGGAATCACAGGAAGTTCACATTGACTGGTCAAGAAAGAAGGAAAAGGCTCCACTCACTCCAGTTTATCCTGGCCCTCAAAGCCTCCTCCTGCAACACACACAGTCAGCTACTCCATTTCCTGTCCCTAGGCTCCTAGTCAGACTTACTCACTGACACACAAATGCCTTGGGACACGGCTCACTCATTGACTTAGCTGAGCCACCTCTAGTGGTATGAGAATTAAATTTGTCCTTTCATGGCTCTCCCATGTCATGTGGAAACTGCTGCCTCTGGGCAATGCTTTGAGATCCAGCTTCACATGTCTCTACTGGGCCAAAACTGGAGACTGGACACCTCAGGCCCCCAATTTTGTCTTCAATTCCAAGCTTACCCTGCATTCCCCACCTTACCCCAGTTCCATGCAACCCCTTTTCAAGGCTAACTACCCTGCACTCCAACTCCCTTCCTGATACAAATCCCGAACTCCCAGGAATCCTCTTCTATGTTCATAGTGTCCCTATTGTACTATTCCTCATTTCTCTTAAGACTCCTAGTCACCAACTGGATGCTCATCTCCTTCTACCCCTTGCCCCTATCACATGTCCTCTACTAGCCTGGTGCTCCCTCTTGTCCCAATGTCAGGGAATTATACAGAGTCTTCAACTACCTTGTCATTTCCCTTACCCTATGTCTCAAACTTCATGCCCATCCAAGTCAAGGAGAATGGGACTCCTGCACCTTTCGCTGCACCAGCACCAGTGGTTTACCCCTCAATAGGTAAGTCGGCCTCTCACTCATAATTCTAAACTCCATACTGAGTCACCCATAAGCCCTGTTCCATGGCACCCTAGGTCCCTTTGAACCCACCTAATGCGTAACATTCAAACCTTCCAAGGCTTAATAATTTCTCATCCTGACTCTGAGAAGACATCATCCCTCCATGTCCCCCCTCACACCCACCTTTTCTTATCCACAATCCTTCTCTGGCCAGGTCTCTGAGGATTTCAGCTAAATACCACAGAGGCCACAAGGAGCAGGAAAGGAAATAGAACCAGAAGAGAGATTTATTTCTGATTTCCCAGGTTCTGGTTATGGAGTCTCTAAGAACAGGCACATGGAGTTTGTAAAAACAGCAAAGAATGAGGACAGTGATTTCTGGCCTTAGCACCTGGTCACAGAGTGCCCAAAATAAGGTCGTTGACTGCAGGCCTGCGCGTGACTGACATGACAAACATCCTGCATATTTACTGGAGTTCTTAAGTTTTATGACATAGTATTTTTTAAAATCTCTATGACCTTTCCCTTGAAAGTGCAGTTAAAATGCATGTGGAATGAGAATACTCTTAATGGTTAGGCTGCTGTGCAGGTGCACTCAGATTCTGGGACAAAGGCCACTCCTAGGCAACCTGGGGCCACGGAATGATCTGGGCAGTCAGGTCATCTGTTTTGGAGGACAAGTCAGAAGTGAGGGAGGCAAGTTAGAAACATTTATTTGGAGGATTATACCCAGATGAGGAAATATTGGAGAATTTGAAAATAAGGTAAGATGAGCAAGATGACAGGATCAGCTAATTATAGGTAGTTGATGTCAAAAGAAAACATGCATTGGGCAAATTGAAAGAGGCAAGAAACACTTTATTGAAGACTGACCATGCAATAGGACAGTAAGACTGAGCTCAACACCTTTAACATAAAAGGCTGGGGATATTTTAAGAATGGCAGCAGGTATCATAGGCATCTGTGTTTGCTAGTTGGCTTCACACAAAAGAAAAGTAAAACTTCTCATGAAATCCGGACAGGAGGTCCTTTCACCTCTTGGCTATTAATGTCCTCACCCAAGTTAGGCTGCTACCCTCCCTCAGAGACTGAGACACAGGGACACCATGAGGATTAAATTTCAAAAGGGCGGGCCCAGGCTCTTGAGACAAATATTCTATGGGACGTAACACTGGCAAGAAGTTTTTAAGGAGACTTACGTATATTTCAAAAGGTCAGAGACAAACTGCAATTGCAAATTGTGGTTACATTTCTGAAGGAAATGCTCTAAAACAATGGAGGTCAGAGGCCTGCAGTCAGGAAGAACCCATCTAAACATAAGTGACTCTGAGGCAACGTGAAAGCACCCCTGGTCATAACAAAACGGCTTTCTGCACAGTGGAGGAAAACACCATTAAATATCTTTCACACAAGATACAGTTTGCATCTTCATCAGTTCCTGCAATTTATAAGCAGGTGAAAAATAGCTGAGAGTCCCTGAACAGAGCCAGGATCTGATCTCCCAGAAGGCTGTGCAATTGGAGTTTTCCATGGAGATATTACATTTCCCTGTATAGTCACCTTCCCTTTGATCAAACGAAATCTCCAAGGAAGAAGAGTATTTGAGATCCTACAAAATGGCTGGTGTCACTTAATTTGCCTGATTAGTGACCTAAGCGCAGAGGAATGACATTCACACATAGTTTGCTCTGCTGCACATGTTTCTGTGAAACCTAAGATGGGAGTTTTAACAGCCTCCTGAGGCTAGGAAGCTTCACCTTCACACTTCACCTGCAGTCTCTCTAGCTTTGGGAGATGCCCTCTTCCCCAAGAGATTCCAAAATACCCCTCAGGAGAAACTTAGCTCCATAAAGAGTGAAGCCATTTCTAATTCTCAGGATATCAGTGTGAACTAGGACATTTGAGCCAAAGCCTTAGTTGTATAACCAGCATTTCCACTTATATCCTAATAACAAGGAAGACAGTGTCCTACTGAACATATGGAAATCAATCCACTGCCACAAAAATAAAAAGTATTTAAGAGGGCTTTAAAATATTTGGGGAGAAGTAAAACAGGAAGAAAAAGATCAGTGTTGATACCCACATGGGAGTCTTCCTGTACATTCTTGCTGTCCAAAACGGTGTCCAGGTACCCTCCACCGGACCCATTGGAGAAGGGACAGAGCTTGGACTCCTGGAAGCTTATCACATGCTCCCACTGGTCATCACATGACCTGCCCTTGCTGGGAGGGACTAGGTTTCACCTTCACTGTGGAGATGGTGCAAACGGGACCAACCAGAGGTGGGATCTGGTGTGGAATGTTAGCTTCAGTCAACAATAACCTCAATGCTAGCTCTCATTTTTGAGCATTTATTGACTCAGTTCACGTTCTAAGGACTTTCCACGTTCACAACAAATTTATTTCAAGGGTGAAAAAAAATTATTCAGGGTTTAATAACATAGAAGAGGAAAGCAGGGTCACTAATATTTTACATCCAGCTAAACCGCTTCACTTTCAGCAGAACGATGGGGTTGGACACTTCACACTGGTAGTTCCCCACATCCTCCCTCTGACAGGGTCTATGGTGAGGGTTCTGTTGCTCCAGGACAGCTTCATGCTCTTACAGACTCATGTCATTGAAGAACCACTGGGTGAGGATCACAGTTGAGTAGCAGGTCAGGACCACAGCATTCTCATGCTCTGTGACTTTGTGTTGCTTCTTGGAGGGTGGGCACTCTTGTGAGCTCTGTGAAAAGACCAAGGACTGATTGAGAGTGGGCTTGGGACTTGGGGTCCTACTACATTCTGAGACATCTCAGCCACTCACAGCGCCCAGTGAGCTCTGTAAAGGTCACCAGAGGAAGGTACTGACATCTGCAGAAGGACAATTGTCTTTGTTCAGGTGACAATGTGTCAAGAGAGGGCTGCACTTCTTCTCTGACCCCACATAACCCCAGCGTGACCCCTGACCTGTTTCCCAGACATCTCTGTAATGTCAGCATAGGGAACGCCTTCCCCGCTTATGTTTCCTATGACTTCATCATCACGTAGTAGTTTCCTCTCATGAGCTTTTATTAATTCTTTCTGTCATTAACTTCAAAAAAGATGAGGTCCCACTCTTTATGTAAAATTCCATGTATGTTGCGCAAGGTAGGCTACCACCTCTGTCCATCTCTCGGGCCAAGGGAACTTTATAGAAAGTGAAAAGGCATTTACCTCTTTTTAAATAATTTATTAGGCAATAAAGATGGCCCAACCCAGACTTCATGATCTTGGAACTGGAGAAGTTCCAGCTAAATGACTTTTCAGTCTAAAAGGGCTTTATTTCCTGGCCTGCAGATTGAATATCATGGTAAAGTAAGTCTCTAGAGAGAAGTGGTTATAGTTTTAACAAAGACAGGAGCTGTAGGAATAGAAGGAAACTATTCAATATGATAAAGGCTACACATGAAAGCCCACAGTTAACCCAAATTTCATGGAGAAACTTGGAAAATGTTACTAACATCATGAATAAGACAAGGATGCTGTTTTTATTTTTTAAAAAATATATTTTATTGATTTTTTTGCAGAGAGGAAGGGAGAGGGAGAGGGCGAGTTTTTTAAATGACATTCTTTGAGTTTATTTACTAATTTTTTGCATTATCTACTGCAAGGTCTTTCCTTTTGGAAGATGAAAACTCAGCTGATTTCATTCTCATCACCAATTCTCTCTCTCTCTCTCTCTTTTCTCTCCAGTATTTTTCTAAAGACCAATATTTAGTGTAAGCTTATTGTGTCTGTTTAATGCCATTCACATTTGAGCCAACTACCTGAGATTTCTTTAAATTTGAATCTCCAGAGCATATCATAGACAAAGAACCTTCCTCTGTGACGTACAGAGGTGGGCGTGGCATGGTCCTGCTCATTAAACACTTGTCATGCCATAAATAGAGCAGAAAAAGCTAAATATTTCTCTACATCCCTACACAGCTTCTCCAGGTTTCCTTGCTGCTACTGCTCTCTGTTGATTACATTACAGAATTTTCCCAACCAATGGTCAGGTGTAGGGGAAGGACAATGAAAAGTCACGTGAATTTTCTGAGCTCTTTGTTCAAATTAAGAATTTCAGGATGACAAAAGCAAACTATTGAAACTACCACTGTCCCTTCTAAATGGCTGCACAAATTATGAGCCCATGAAGCGGCCCTCCCTACCAGGGCAAATGGATGTGTTCATTCTCCAAGTTAATTCAATGCCAAACTCAAGTCATAAAAAAGGCGAGAACTAGAGGCTTTCCTGCCAAAGAAAAGCAAAACTATAAGTTCCTAAATGGCTTAGTAAGACACGTGTGCTCCAAAGGGTGGACGTGATGCCTGCTAACGCTGATGCTCTAAGACAATGACATCAGTGATGACAGTGAAACCAAGGACAAGATCAACTCTTGTGATCAGCAGTTTAAGCAAAGCATGAGCTATAGGGCCATCCACATTTGTGACCATTCAGGGATCTGCCACATCTATGGCTCCACTAGTCTGGACCATGCTGGACGTACCCTCCAGAGAAAAGGACAAGTTTCTAATTGATGTTAGAAGAATGAAAGGTGCTTTTTGAAAGCAATGGTGAGACCTAATAAAATAATTACGCCTAGGCAGACTTCTTGTGAACAAGGCCACTTCTTGTGAATATCTTCTACAGCAATAAAACAACAGCTCCCAACAGGCTTCTAGGCCTGAGTAGAGATGGAGAGTCTGAATGTGGTCTGTAATATGACCAGGTAGGCAGAAATGCTCATCATAACCTGGGTTCTACCAGACCCACCAATGTAAGTTCAGGTGAGGAGAGAGGCATCCAATACAGTTGGAAGTGACACATCCTGGATTAGACAAGGGCAGGTGGGTACCTACCACTCCATCCCTGTGACCTACCACAGAGCTCTTACCTGTGGAATCACAGAAAGATACTCTAACTAGTCAACAAAGAAGGAAAATGCTTCACACGTGCCAAGTTCATGTCAGTCCTCAATTTCTTCTCCCCCAACACACACATACCATCAGCCTTTTCCTTGCCTGTCCCCAGGCTCCTAGTCAGACTTACTCACTGACTCACAAAACCCTGGGGACATGGCTAAGGTGTTTACTCAGCTGAGGCACGTCTTGTTTATAGGGGTGAGATTGGCCTTTCATGACTCTCCCAGGCCATGGGGAAACTGCTTTGAGAGCCAAATGCAGACATCTCTCCTGGGTTGGATCTGGAGGATGGACACCTCTGGCCCTCAATTTGGTCCTCACCCTCAAGCCTGCCCTTCATTCCCCACTATTCCCATGCTCCATGCCAACCCCTTTTCTAGTCTGACTACCCTGGACTTCAACTAATTTCCTGGCTCAAATACCACATTCCCTAGGCTCATCTTCTGCATTCACGGGGTCCCTATCCCTCATCAATTTTCAGACTCCTAACTCCCTACAAGATGCTCATCTGCTTTTCCTTCTTGTTTCTTATTTTATGTCTATTCTGTAACTCCTGCCAGCCAGTATATTTTGTCCTTCCTCTTGTCCCAAATGTCAGGACACTAATATGAACCTTCAAGAACCTTATGCTTTCTCCCAACCCCGTGTTTCACCCCTTTCGCCTATCCAAGTTTGGGAGAACGGCATTCCCACTTCACTACACCACCTCCAGTGGCTTCTCTCTCAACAGGTATAAGGTAGCCCCTCACTCATATCCCTCAGCCCCATCCATAACCCTTCCCAAAAGAACCCACCTGCAGGGCACCTTTGGGTCCCCTTGACCTCATATAATGCCTAACATCTCCAAACATACCTGGCTTTACAATTTATCATCCTGGCTCTGAACACATCCTATCACTCAACCGCTCCCCTCTATGCCCAATTCTGCTTACCCACAATCCTCCTCTGGCTAGCTCTCAAAGAGGTGTAACTAAATACAGCAGAGGCCACAAGGCACAGGAAAGATTTATTTGCATTTCCCAGGTTCTGGATATGGATTCTCTATGAACAGTCTCCTGGCAATTGTGATAGTAAAAACAGTGAAGGAAACAGTGTATGAAGACACCTGTCTGGCCTGAGCTCCAGGTCACAGGGGACACAAAACAGCATCTTTTAGTGACAGCCTGTGGGTGACTGACATGTCAGGGACCAGCATGTTTACTAGATTTTCTAAAGTTCAAGACAGAATATTTGTTCAAATCTCTGTGATCTTGTTCCTTGAAGGTGCAGTGAAAATGAATGTGAACACTGTTGATGGTTTGGTCCCTGTGGAAGTGTGCCCTTTAAGGCCTGCATGTCTTCTCAGATTCTGGTGCAAAGTCCATCCTGAGGCAACCTGCAGCCTCAAAAGCATCTAAGAAGTCACGTCACGCTGCTGTGGATGCCAAGTCAGAAGCAAGGCAGGAAAACTGGAGACCTTTATGTGGAGGATTTTAGTCTGATAAGGAAAGAAATTGGAAGAGTTGAAAATAAGGTAAGGATCGACAATGTGAGCAAAATGACAGAATCAGCTAGTTACAGGTAGATGATGACAAAGTAAAAGATGTGTCCAACAAATTTAAAGAGGCAAGGAAGACATCCTTCAGAACCATGCAATGGGCACTGAGATGAAACTCAACACCCCTGAAAGAAAAGGCTGGGGAGATTTTAAGAAAGAAGAAGGGATTATAGGCATCTGTTTTTGCTAATGGGCTTTACAGAAAGGAAATGTAAACCATCTACTGAATTCCTATCAGGAGGTCTTTTCACATATTGGCTGTAAATGTCCCCACCCAAGTTAGGCTCCTACTCTCCCTCAGAGACTGGGACACAGGGACACCAGGAGGATTAAATTTCAAATGGATGGGGCCAGGTCCTTGAGACAGTTATTCTCTGGGTCATAACACTGGCAAGAAGCCTTTGAGGAGACATGTATATTTCAAAAGTGCAGAGAGAGAACCTGCAATTACTAATTACATTTATGAAAGAATGGTCTAAGGATGGAAGACAAAGGCATGTTTTCAGGAAAAAACTGTGTAAAGTTTAATGACTCTGAGGGGACATTAACGCCTCTAGTTCAGAACAAATCTTCTTTCTGTACGGTGGAGGGTAACACAACTAAATCTCTTTTAGCCAAGACCCAGTTCACATCTTAATCATTTCCAGCAGTGTATAAAGAGGTACAATTTCCCAGAAATTGCTGAACAGATGCAAAGTAGCTGAGAGTTCCTGAACACAGCCAGGATCTGATCTCCCAGAATGCTGTGCTTCTAGAGTTCTCCATGGAGACATTACCTTGCTCTCTACAGTCACCTTCCTTTTGACCACAGGTCACGCAAGAAGAGTATTCTCCATCCTACACCATGGCTGGTGTCACTGGATTTGGCCTGATTAGTGACCTAAGTGCAGAGGAACTGACATTTGCCACATAATTTGCTCTGATGCAGGTTTTTCTATGAAACCGAAGATGGGAGTTCTAAAGGCCTCTTGAGGTTAGGAAGCCTCACCCTCTAGCTTTGGGTACTGCCCTCATCTCCAAGAGATTCCAAAAAAAACCCCTGCAGGTCAAATTTACCTCCATGAAAGGTGAGGTCATTTCTAATTCTTTGGGCATCAGTCTGAACTAGGACATTTGAGCCAAAGCCTGGTTGTGTTACTAAGGTTTCAATTATACCCTATTGACAAGGAAAACAGAGTCCTACTTACTTTATGCAAATAAGTTTATAGCCATATAAATAGAAATACTCAAAAAGACTTAAGAAATTTTTGAAATAAGTCAAACAGGGAATAAAATAGGTCAATGTTGTTACCCACATGGGTGTCCTTCTATCCATTCCCATTGCCAACAACAGTGGCTGGGCATCCACTACATGTCCCCCTTGAGGAGGGACAGAGCTTGGATTTATGCAAACTCATTATGTGCACCCAGGGTATTCACACAGCCACTGCCATTCTCTTGAAAGGCTCACTTGGTTTCACCTCCACTGTGGAGATGGTACAACTTAGACCACACAGAGGTGGGATCTGGTATAGACTATAACCTTAAGTCAACAATAATGACAATGTCAGCTCTTTTTTGAGCATTTATTGACTCAATGCAAATCTTCTAAGGACTTTCCACCCTCACATCAAATCTATTTAAAGGGCACAAAAGATTATTCAGAGTTTAGTAACATATAGGAGAGGAGGATGGTCACTAATATTTTACATCGAGCTTAACCGGCACACTTCTAGCACAACTGACGGGGTTGGACACTCCACC